TGATGCATGTCCGGTTTAATATGCATGGCATGGCAAAGTGCACAAGCAATCCTACAAATTAAATGGAGCTCAATATGCAACGGGTTGCATATTGAAGGAACACCACATCAATTATTTGGTTCTCTCTCGGTTATGTACCCAACAATATTAAATGTTTTTAAGCATGTCAAGAGGTGAAACATAAAGGGATTATCTGTCTAAACAATTTAAATGGGGCCGGATATAGCAAACAACAAATCCGGTAAATCCCCATATGCATTAGTAAATTGACGCAAACAACAATTTAAACCATCTTAATGTTGTTAAGATGATGCGGATGACATGATCAAGTTTATGCAATTTTATATTAAAAGTTGACAAGAGCATTATGAAGCATTTTCACCGTAGTAGAAAGAAAGGGGTGCCACGGCGACGATAATGAAACGGTGCCACTGCAACGTTCCGGTTCCGACAACTCATTGAGAACGTCGGTGCAAAAGAAAGTGTGGCGGGAGCGTGCAAAAGATGGTGGGGTGATCCCGGTAACCGGGTTCCCACGGGTCGACGGTGGTCTTGGGGTTATACCTTCGAAGCGTGCATTTTCGGAGGGGTTCGAGTCGGTGTAGAGGAAGTAGTGGAAGTAGACGTTCTCGGACGTCGAGGGAAGTAGTGGTTCACGCGACGGTAGTCGAAGTAGTCGTTCTCGCACGCTCTAGGGTCGAGGGTAGAGGTTCTCGCGATCTCGGCGACGGTAGTGGTACATGTTTATCATTGCACGAGTTTCTGTAGACGTTCATGTCATCGGTGTCGAGGTACTTGGGGTCTTCGGACTTTCCGGTCCCGTTCTTGCGACGGTAGTCATTCACGTTCATTTCGGAGAGGTACTTGATTACTCCAAACCCTTCGCGGTCGACGGTAGTTGAACTTGATGCTTGCGGTGCACATTTCTTCGTCAACGGTAGTAGTACAAGGTCGTCGTGGGAAGTGGTCGTACTCGCGAACTTGTCGAAAACAGGGTCTCGGTCGTTGGTATAGGTACTTGGTGAAATCCATGGGTGTCAGTAGTTGTACATGGTCTTCGCGTTGTAGTCTGACTTGGCGATTCCAAAATGTTCATCGATAGTGGAACTTGGCGGTCTCGACGGTCGTCGTGGTACTTGTCGAAAGGAATCCACCGAGACGGTCTTGTGTCCCTGGATTCAATGGCCTTGGCAACGACAAAAGGGGCAGCATCACGTAGCATGCTTGGCGAGGGGCTACAAGTGAGAGGCCATGGCAGCGGCAAAAGGGGCAGCAACAACACGACTCACGGACAGAGGAGGTGCTGCCGGGCGCTGATGGTGGTGGAGCAGGGGAAGTCAACGCGGGCTCACGGTGACTGTCACAACGACGAACAGAGGCGCGCGGAGAAGCAGCCGTCCGGTGATGGAGCAGAGGCGTCCATGGCCAGCGACCCAAGGTGTCGAAGATGGCCGGATCCGGGCCAGCTCGGGTTGGGGAGGCGAGGTAGCAGGCCGGTGGCGGGGCTTGGCGCGGTCGGAGGACAGGACCGCGGGGCATAGCTTGGCGGCGTCTTCGGTAGCAGGGAGGCGCGTCCCTGGCAACTGGCGTGAGGAGGAGGCCGGGGAAGGAAGGGGGCGCGCTAAGGAAGGAGGTGCGGCGCCTGGGCGGCGCTGGTGGCCTCCGGCGGCACCGGATCGAAGGCGGAGGAGGACGCGGGACGTCGGATCGGGAGGCGCCGACTGCGCCCGTCCCTGGCGGCGCGAGCAGGGAAAAGAGAGAGAGGGGTCGAGCGAGAGGACAAGGGCAGTTGGCGGCGCTGCGGGAGGAACGAGAGGGAGAGATTGGATCGGGGAATCGGGCTAGGGTTAAGACAGAGTGCGACTGGCTGGGCCTTGGCCTTGGGCCGAATGGGCCGGCCTAGCTACAGGGAAAAGGCCCGGCTGGGCTCCTCACTCCTTCCCTCTTCTCTTTTAAAAAAAACCCCAGATAGCAAAATAAAAAGGAAAGAGCGGGTATCTAAGGGAGGTTTCTGACAAGGAGGTAAAAAGCTATGGGGTCCAGGATTTAAGTAATATTTGAATAAATTGCTTAGGGCTTTTTTAGGGTAGAAAATTAAACCAAGTTTAAATTAACTTCAAACTTGATGCAATTTTGAACCCAACCAAAACAACGTCAAAAGAGATGAAATTTGGTAGAGAGGTTGAAGGCATGGTCGAGAATTTATAGGAAAATAATGAACATTAATAGAGAAGGGGAAAATGGCACTTGCAAAAAAAGGAAATAGAAGGAAAGGAGAAGGAGATGATGATGGGACAAAGGCATGGGGAATTATTTTGCAAGTGTGTCAAGGTAATTCCACATTAATGAAATATTTAATATATCTCCCTACTATTGGGAGGATATGTTTTAAAAAGAATCACCATGTGAATTCTCTCGATTTAAATGGACCGGAGATCCATGCAATTTATTTAGTTGAGTTTTAAAACGGGTTGCATGATGACATGATGCAATGCACATGATGCAAAGATGAAAGCAATAGACGAAACAAATCACACAACGAAACCCGGAAACCCTGGAAGGCATCTGAAGCTCCGGTCTTGGGGCGTCACAGCCGGGGCGAGCGATTTTGACGCGAAAGAGCCGCGGGCCCGTCGAGTCAGCGACACGAGCCTCGTCGTCCTCAGAACGCCTCGGTTTCCAGCGAGGAATCAATGGCAAGGCTGCCGCCGGTCAGCCTTGCCATTGATTCCGCACGGGTGGCGCGTCACAGGCGGCGCGGCGACGCCTCCCCTCCCGCCATGCGTACACACTGGGCGGGGCTATAAAACCAGCGCATCCCCCTTGCCTCTGGCCACACCAGCCCACAGCCGCCGCCGAGCTCTGCCTCTCTCCCCGTGCGCAACCGCCTGCCGACGTTCCTCCCCTCCCCTCTCTCCCCAAGCCCATCCGACGGCCGAGCAATTCCCCGGCGACGCGGCGGCGGCCAACGGCTTCAGCCGCCGCTCGCTCCACGAGTGGGAGGCTTATCTCTTCTTCGAGGCGAACATCCCGGCCCCACCGGACATGCGCCGAGCCGACGGGGTGGAGGCTCAACAACGGGGGCGTCCCCATTCCCCCGGTGCCCGACGTCGATGCGCGCCCCGCCATCTTCGCCGCTGAGGTCGACCGCGTGCGGGCGTCCCTAACGGAGGAGCAGCGCGCCCTCCCCCAGTACGCCGCCGACAACCACGCGTCGTGGGCGGCGTACTTGCAGCGTCGGCAGGCGCAGTGGCTGGCATCCACCAACGAGGCACCGATGTGGGGGGCATCAAGAACAACAACGGGCGCCGCATATGATGGAGCGCCCCCGGCCGCATGCTCCACGAGGTGCTCTTGCACCTCGAGGGCGGCAATGACCCGCTGCTGGCATACCCTGCCGCGGTGGCCGCCCCGGTCCCCCGCCGGAGCGCCGGGCAATGGATGCCCAGGAGGTTTGGCTCCTCCTCGTCTTCCTCCTCTCACTCCTCCTCTCGCTCCTCTTCCCATTCCTCCGGCTCGCCCGCGGTGTTCGGCGTCAAGGCCGAGCCCGCAGCGGAGACGCCGCTCGGCCGGCGCACCCGCAGCGTCGGCATCGTCATCAACGAGGGCGTCGGGCGCGCCTCCTCCTCGGCTCCTCCACGCTACGTCAAACCAAAGACGGAGCCGGGGCTCGCCGCCGTGAAGACGGAGCCGGGCGCGCCGTCGTGAAGACGGAGCCAGGGCTCGCCGGCGGCGTCAAGGAGGAGCTCGACGACGCGGCGGCCTTGAAGTGGGCGCGCGACGACTGGTCACGGACGGAGCTGGAGCGCCAGCGCCTCGCCTACGAGCAGTTCGAAGCTCGGCGTCGTGGCCGGGACGAGGGAGGCGTCGTCGTCCTCGACGACAGCAACGATGACTCACCGCCACCACCGGTCCGCCAGGGCGACACTGGGCAGGGGTCCAGCAGGGGCTGCCACATCAAGGAGGAGAAGGCCGACAACGACGTCGGCGACGTCGCCGCGCTCAGCGACTTCTTCGCCCCTTAAAAATAGTTGTAGTTGTGGCCTTTTTCGAATAACTTTGCTATGTAATGTCCGAATATATGTCCAGTTTGCTGAACTTTAGCCGAATACTTTGTCAAATTTGCCGAACTTTGCCAAATACCCTTAAAAAAGGTGTCTTGAGGCGGCCCTAGGGCCGGCGGCTGGAAACCGACTCGCTCCCAGGCCGATTTTAGCGCCACGCCCCCTGGGGGGCCAACAGCTGGAGATGCTCTGAGGGAGACAATCTTGCAAATCATCCACACGGCGTCTTGGAAAATTTCTGTCATGGGTTGGTGAGCAAACCACTAGCATCGCCAAAGCACCTCAGAAGTCTTGTCCTGGTTGGTGAGCAAACCAGGTTGGGTCAAGATTCAGGTTTAGAGGATGGCATTTTTGCCCACTGCACTGGGCAGAGGGGCAGATTTGCAAAAGATTTCTATTTGTCTGGTTTCTCTAACACACATGAAGGAAGTTGAAGCTCTGGAAGCTATCAAAAAAAGTGGAGGTCTGGAAGAATCATGCACCACACTTGATGGAGAAGATACAACAGTAGCCCGTGTCCACAGGAGGAAAATAGTGTCGAGACCAGCCAGCCTCAAACCAATGACACGGCATGCTGGTAAATTTGTGTGCCAACGCTAGAAGTTCCCGTCACCATATGACATGAAGTAAGACAAGATCTTCACATACGTAACCTGGTTTTTTACATGCACATGAATTATAGTACTATGAACTTACAGACCACACTCGACATGCGTGAATGCTTTCCAACGTGATTCCTCTAGGAAACCAATGGGATGGGGCTGCTAAAAGCTCCCAAGGGCCACATGTCCGACCATAGAACATAGCTGCATCAGACGGCCCAGTTTTAATGCATTTCAGAACACATGTGCCATATTTTGTTTTGCTTACAACAGAAATTGCAGTGCAAAAGGCTTCATAGGCAGGAACTCGAAACGAGCCGCCACAGAACAATCATCAATAGCTGTCTTCATCTGTCTCGGGCCTCCGGAGGTAATAGCGCAAACAATTAACCAGCACCTGTAAAACGGAATTATAAGAGTTCAATATTGCTGAGATGAGCAAGAAGGTTACTAAATGTGCTAATCTTGGCGTGGGTATATACCAGAGATAACGAGCTGTTAAGTTTTGCCCCTCTGTAACTCACATGAAACTTGTCCTTGGCAACCAAGCCCTGAATAAGACAACCGGCATGAACTAAGGAAGGGCCTTCATAGCTGAGTGACTACCATAACAAAGAGACAGAAACTGGCATACCTCAGTATCAATCTCAGCTGATTCCACATCAACATTTACGTCAGTAATGATCTTGATTACTTCCAAGAGTAAGCCTGGTCGATCAGCTGTCTCTATGTAAAGCATGCTGCACATGTTCAACTAAAACTGGTGAGGAAGTAGATGATGTACATTAAACCAAGAAAAATGAGAAACAGATCATTCAGGTTCTATAAGATGTGATTCTTGGCAAATGGATAAACACATTTGTTTTCTAACATATGAAGTTGTGTCAAACACAATCAACTACTCCCTCCGTTCCAAAACACTTATTTTGGAACGGAGGGAGTATTACACAAGGTGCAGTACCCAAGAACCAACAAGTTCCGTCAGCATGGCGACTTGCCCAAACACAACCAAATCCAGCAGTCCGATATATTACCTAGCCTGTCCTTTCTATACCAAATCATCCCATTTTTCATTTTAAAGGTGTCCTATGAGAGATGTACGATAATGCCTGAACCCGACTAGCCTAGACATGTTTATAATGCAAGGATGCCTCCAACACAAGAACAAAATTTTGCAGCTTGGCCCAAACTTGGGAGGCACATACATACCTTACTACTAGTCAAATGCACCTGCTTATTATGTCAGGTGATTCTTTTTACGGGAAATTATGTCGGTGATTTAAAATTTCAAATGCTCAACAAGATAAGTATGCCTCAAGCAAATGTAGTCACTGCCCACGTAAAACCCTCCATTATGATACTAGGTAGCGATCACGTGAAAATCAGTTTTGGCAGCAGTAGCAGACAATAGCTAGAGATTTAGTTTGTCAAATGTGTACAAATAGTGCTTTGGTACATATACAAGATACAACCACACGGCAAACCGTGGTGTAACATATGTGTGATGTCACCATATGACAACTATTACGTACTAGTGAATTTAGTTCGCCAATGTGCAGGAATAGCGCACCACACACAAAACCATGCATGTGCATGCCACAGAACTAACATATATGGGATAATATGCATGACAACTAATTAGTCACCGTACATGCTGACATCATGCTACACAAGCGGCATACAATAATTAGAAGCTATCATGATCAAACCTTCTTTTCGGTCCATCATCTTGCACAATTACATGTGTTGCAACATCAACATCAACCTGCCATAGAGAACATAAATTAATTAATTGCTCAAGATATAGGGAAAAAATAAAATTAAAAGCATAACACTTGGATGTCTGTTTTAAAATACCCAGTGTGTAAACACTGAGGGAAACCCATCCCTAAAACGAAAATATGCCTAACAAAAGCATGGACCAGCATCAGTGCTGAATTAGCAGGATGAGAACATCCACTGAACTCACCTTCTTCTCAGGGGCTTTGATTCCAAAAAATTCACCCATAGCTAGCTTCTCGCTTGATTCCTATACACATATTGCCTATTATTCTGATATTTCGATTAAGCAAAATGAGAACTAATCTAAAGCTACCAAACACCAAAATATAAAACACAACTGAAGAACTTGAATTCTGAAACATACGGGATGATACTGCAGAAGGTTGTTAATGATGGTCAGCCGTATTGTTTCCAACATGTCAGGGTCCTCAACCTTACGCCCTCTGGACAGAGACAGATGGTATAAACAGATAAATAATATTAGAACATGACCAAATCACCACAACTGTCTTAGTATGATAATCACAGGTGCAATTTCTAAGGAATATTTTGAAATTTTAGTGTGTCAAGACATCCTTCCATAAAGTCAGTAAAAAAGAAGAGAGAAACAGTACTTGAATGCATGTGCAATCTGTTGAATGGTAATTACAGAAAATAGACCACAAGGCAGCTAAACTAAAATATCAGTAATAATATGTGGACATTGCACAGTTGCACAAAGTGTAGCATCCAAAAGTGATGAATCAAGCATACAAATACCCTCCTTTACTTCTCGAAGTGCAAACAAACAACTAAACGCTGTATAAGAAATTGCAGCAAACAGAAAGTTGCATGCACCCACAATCGCATGATGTGGAACTTTGTTTGTGTGACAGATGAATCAGTTGCCACACTTCCTTTCGTCACATCAAGGCCCAGGTCCTTGAGTGCCTTCATCTGCAAACAGTGAACAGCACGACGCAATAATTTATAGATACAGAAAATCTGTAACTTATAAATCATTAAAGCATATCTAAGCAAGGCCAGACCAATAAAACGCCATCCCCAGCACAATAAAATGCATACCGTATCAAGTAGTGCCCCCAAACGATCTCCAAAACTCAGCTGCACAATGGTTGCATCACGGTCTGAGTCTTGGTCTATCAGTACAACTGGCTGTGGAACTGCGTCGTCAGCTGTCTGTGATATAGATTTGTTTTTCAAAAATGCACGTTTGAAATCATCAGTTGAGTATGTGTTCAAATAATAGAATGTCAGCATGTAAGAAGAACAAAAATGCCGAGAATAAAAAAAGCACTTTCCAAAGAAAAAACTAATCATTTGAGTATATCAAATTGTTGGCATCTCTATCCATACAATGAATTGTTGAAATATGTAGCAACTCTTGATATAAGCAGAACTACTTTGACACCTGATGTCTAGGACCATATTGCTTCACATCGGCCCTCAGAAGAATAAATTGTACAGTGAGACATAATAGGCAGACTGAGATTTTCTAAAACTGAAAGTGGTCTGAGTTGTCCATAAATATTTCATTGCTCAGGAATATGAGTCTACACATTTTATGCGAATTTGCAAGGCTGAAGAATATACTGCAGTGCCACAGTCCATATGTTCCACAAAGTTGTGGTAATTTGAGAGATGTAGTCATGCAAATATACCATTGAGGAAGCTCCCAACACGTTAGCTGAGTTGATAGATTGGCAACAAATCCTAGAAGGATGGCAAAATTTAAAAAATATTAGCACATGGAAACAATGTAGGACAGAACACTGATATACTGCAGAGGACATTGGCAGCACAGCCAATACAGACAAATAATTAAAGCATGAGAAACTCAGAATGGTATCATGATTTATCTAAAAACACGGCAGGCAGAAAACTTGTGCCACTACCCTTTACAGGTTTCCTGGTTATAAGCACAAAATTTTACTCAAAATATAGTTATCATATGTAGGTTCACATATGAACACAGTTAGAATTCATGTGTTTTCAATGGTGCACTAGTCCTGTCAGGACCTGGTGGATTCGATTCTTAACGAGGCAGCTCCTTGGAGTCTGGAGACTGGCAGGAGCGAAAGAAGTCAGGAACCTTGCGCTGCAGCTGCACTCCCGATCTGTAGATGCACCACGTCCTTGTTTGGCACTTCTTCCAGCATAAATATGAATGGAACATAACTGGGCTTTGCACATCGTATCTTAAAATGAAGATATAGCCTTTTGAGAGAAAACAGACAGAGCAATCTGAAATCTGTTGTGCAGGAAAATTGGTCCTCACTTGTCATTTATCCGTTTACATCTTACAAGAAAGAAACCGAAGTGCATTTTTTACTTTGTGCTGATCCGAGTTGGATGAAAAGCTGCAATTCTATTCTATGCATACAATTTCCTTCTTAATTGCGTCCATTATACTGCTCCTAACAAAATGGTTACTACAACTTCAAATTTGACATGTCATATTTCCACATCCATGCACCGAATTCAGTGCAAACGAATGCAAATATGCAACAGGCTTACAGGCCTCAACATTTGAACAGGAATATTTGGAACTATTCTTCGTCAAACATAACAATAGAGAGCACATCACAATCATATCCAATCTAAGTCTCAAAGTTATAGGATAATCATGGATTTATGGCCTCTGAGATAGAATGCATACTCATCTAGGAAGGCCGTGAACAACCGAGCAACACATCCTGAAGTCAACGGTAGCATCTATTCCTCCCCTAGGATTTCCCCGAGCTGAGCTAAGCTAATCTACCGAACAGATGACTAGTTCGCAGAACCGAAACGCTAAACGACACATCATGGTTCACCTTTCAACAATATACGTCCCATTATTCAACCCAGTGAGATAAGTGGAACCGCAGCGACGAAACGGGATCAATCGACTGATCCCGTTCCAAGCCCCAAACTGGCGAAAGGCAGCACTGGCTCCGCTCTCATTCAGATAAAGCGCCACCCCGATCGTCCTAGACTCGAACCAATCCAACAACGGCTAGCGAGGCGCGCCGAGGCACAGCACACGGTAGGAGGAACAGGGATCGCATCACAGGACCGGGTTCAGAATCGGGAGAAACCGAGCGCGCGGAGGGCGGCTCAGATCGCTCACCTCGGGAGAGATCGGGGGGCGGCGAAGCGGAGGGGACGCAGCGGCACGCGAGGGGCCGCGGCGGCGGGGCGAACGAGGTGGCGGTGGGAGGTGGCGAGCGCCATGGCCTCTGTCACTCGGAACGCAAGGAGTGGCGCAGTCGCGGTGTGCTGCCTGCGGTTTGGTGTTGGTAGGCAGTCGGGGTGGGAGGGGGAGAGGGAGAAAAAGGGAGGGAGGGCCGTCGTGGTGGCCAGCCGCGTAGATGGTGAGTGGGACGTGAGATTTCTTTTCGTGCGCCCACTTGGGCGACGGGAGGGACACACCCTTGTTTTCTTGTGCGGGAAACGTCCCACTTCCAGTACGTCATCTAGGCTAGCTAGCCCCCTCGCACTTGTCCCGTCGCGTGCTCCGGGGTCGCGCGCCGGTGGGTGCTGACGACCTTGGCGGCACATCAACGGCTGCACTCGCAACGCCGCACCGGCCGTGCTCCTTTCTGACACACCACACGGATGACGACACCTGTACCAGCAAGCTAAAACTCATACAGTAGAACAGTTTTGTTTTTGTGTTGAGGTAGTAAAAAGCTTTTTTTAGATGAGGTAGTAGTAAAAAGTTGCTGTGCCAGCGAAAGAAGAGCTTCATGTCAATTGGTACGATTATTCTCTGATAACAGAAATAACCTCTCTTTTTTTAAAGTAGCCGTAATGCCAAATGAGCCTTCGCTTCGGTGTTGCAACTTGCAAGTAGCGGCAAACATGGATTGCGTGTGCAACTAGCTTGCCTCCTGGTTTTATATCTAATCGAGGGCCGTATTAGGGGCGGATCATGTAGGCGAAATGATACTTTTTCTCTTGAGCAATCACAGAGGACGGATTGAGCTGGGTGATGATTCTGGACTCTGGAGATAACAATAATTGGCAAGCTGATGGTTCTTTTTTGGAGGGAAACTGGCATGCTGCTGTAGGTACTAGTATATGATATTTATATTTTCTTTGGATTTCTCTACGATTCTAACGTCAGTTTTTTTATCATAGCAATTTATTTATTTTGAAATCAAGAGTTTTATTGATTACTTAACGGAATTACATTCCTTCATTACACAAGCCATAAGGAAGGATGGAATATAGTTTATCCAAAAACATCTTCTCCTAGAGGAACTACAATGTTTAGTACAAAGATGCGCTAGTTCATTTGCTGCTTTTGTCGTGAAGGCCAAACGAAGTTCCTCGAAGTTTCCGCAAAGCTTTTGAATATTGCTGACAGTGGCAGCTATCTCCGATCGGTCTACACAGAAGAATTGCACTGTTTAACAACCTACTGGGCATCTGATTCAATTATAACCCTTTGATACCCTAGATCAGAAGCTAGTTGTATGCCATCTCTAATGGCATATGCTTTCGTTGATCTTGCATTAAGACCCACTTCATACTAAATGGCTTGTGCTCTAATCAAAGTCCCTTCATGGGTCCGAACACACACCAAGACCTGTACCCTCTTCATCAGTATCTTCATAAAAGGCAGTGTTCACATTAATTTTAATGAAGCTCTCCTCTGGGGTTTCCACTTATGTTGCTCCTTGATCGGTTTTGCAGCTTGTTAGTTTCATATACCCGAGAGATATGCTGCTATTGTAGGAACGAAGTATGTCTACCAAAGGGGAGGGGTGAATGGGAGTTTTAAAAATTTCTTCGAAAAACTTCAGAACCCATCAGTGGAATGAATGAAAAACAAACTATAATGAACTAACACAGAGTACCGAAAGGAAACTAGAGCATGCATCGATGTAAATCATACGAATGAAAATGCATTAAATGTAAACATGAGTGACAGAGATAACCAAAGATGCTCGATGGCGATAAGGAATTTGTTCGACCAGTTCGTCCTTCTACACAAGGACTATGTCTGGTTGGAGGGGCTGTGACTTAACACGGAAGATAAACTCTCTTCACCCTATTCTCCTCGATAATCGATTCATCAACCGATACCGATTACTCGTGGTAGATACTTGAAGGCGATCTCCGAACCTTTACAGACTTCTTCTTCGAGAACCACAATCACTCTTGGTCTCTAAAGAAATTGACATCTAACCATCTAGAGAGTTTGCAGCTCTCAAGAGTAATAGGCGGAGCGTACTAAACTTAGATTCCAGTGATGTTGAACCACTATCTAATTCTTTGACTCTAGGGTTTTTCTCCTGGTGGATTTTAAACTCAAATCGCTCAGAGAGTGGGTTGCTCAACAATCTTCTCAGAAATCAAACGGAGCAGCCACCGGGCAAAGCCGACGCGGGGTGGCTATTTATAGTCGTAGCCTTCCCAGATGGGAAATGACCATTTTGGACACGAGGTCCAACCAATGGCCAACCGACACGTTTACAACGATCGGATTTTGGAGCAACGGTAACATTACTTGAGGAACAAGTAATGCTAACTCCTTGGTCCGAGTCAAATCTCTCGCCGCGAAGAAGATCACAGTCTCTTGCTGGCAAGTATTTGCTCGGAGCACAAAGAGATTTCTCTCACAACTTTCATAGGATTTGGGTTTAGCATCAGAGAACCGAAGCTTCAAACGCTACACCTCACTTAATAGTATGGTGGTCCTATGACTCAATGAAAGAAGAAGAATAATGAAACAAATGATACGTCTTCACTTCATCTTCATTCTTCCTCGAACGCAGTCATATGCTTCTAACAGACATCGAACCAGTTGCTTGATCTTCAACAATTTTTAGGGGTCACTCTTGTTAGCTTCATCTTCGGTGATAACCTTCGCTGCCACGCAGAAGGATTATCTTCGTCGTTTGCATCAAACTCCTCGATACTTTAGGGACCTGTTACTCTATGTGCACTAGCAAACACATAAGTCCTATATTGTTTATGTCAACAAACTCCAAAACATAATGGTCCTATCATTGCACCAACAATCTCCCCCTTTTTGGACGGTTGTTGACAAAACAGATAATCATCGAAGTGAAGATAGATAAGTGAAATGTAAATCGAACAAGAGTGAACTTGCGTTACTTGACTCGATGATGAAATATACTTCCCCTAGATATATGCAGGGTTAATTGATGTATAATGAAATTCCTTGCAATTCATTTAAGTATAAGGAGGATTTTTCAATCATGCGAGGTAAAAGATTCGCACTGATGATATGTAATCCAATGAGAATATAGTGAAATCATTTATGGCTTCTAACAATAATTCCACCTACAAAACAGATGCTTCGA